CCCACCCCCTCCGCCCCCCAGGAAGGTTGGCATTTTGAGATTACTGAGGGCAGAGAAGACTCAGACTTCACCCCAGAGGACTTTAGGGGTAGATCGAGTTCTGAAATCAGACAGAGATTTGGGATCTAATCCTTGCCCTGCTGCTTACTCGTATGGCTCCTGTATGTTGTATGGCTCCTGATAGGTAACTGAGTTTTAGTTTCATCTGCTAAAACAGAGACAATGCCAACGTTCCAATGTGTCTGTGAAGGTCATAGGAGCTAATGCGTTTGAATTCATCTTGCATAGTGCCTGGTTTACAACAGGTGCTCAATAATGTCCTTCTTTATTCCTAGGGGAGACTATAAAAGCACAAATTGAGTAAATACAAACTTAGATTTGTATTTAGTCACACAATAATAAAGTCTTAGTCCTTATTTAATGTGACTCACCCTTAGAGAGAAAGGGTTTTAAAGGTATCAGCAATGCATTTGAGGCTACTTTGTATGAAACTACTTCCTGTTCAGTTTAGGAAAGCTTTGGAGAGAAGAGAAATTGAGTTTTGGCTTCAGAGGGTGGAAGGGAAGCCATCCTGGGGTGATTATCTTAGGAGGAATTAATCCAAAGCTTGGCTTGCCTTCAAATCAGATGTCAACCAACTTAACCTGGACCACATACTGTGTGCCGGGCACATCATAGGTGCTAGGGATACAGTGGTGACCAGGTACACCTGTCCCTTCCCACATGGAGCTTATAGTCTAGAAAACCAGAGAAAAGGCAAAAAAAAAAAAACCAAAAACAAAATACCTAAAGACCTGGTGGGTGGGTAGAAGCAGTGCTGTAACAACCCTGAGGCCCGAGAGCAAGAGGCTTGCCTCCCTCAGGTGTCCATCCTGTCATCCTTTGAGAGCCGCCTTATGAAGCTGGAGAACTCCATCATCCCTGTGCACAAACAGACGGAGAATCTGCAGCGGCTGCAGGAGAATGTCGAGAAGACGCTGTCCTGCCTGGACCATGTCATCAGCTACTACCATGTGGCCAGTGACACTGAGAAAATCATCAGGGAGGGGTGAGCTAGGTCCAGAGGGTCACATTCCTAATGCCTCCTGGACCAGCAGTGCTAGACCTTAGAAGGGAGGGTAGAATATATTTGGGCCTAGAGTGCCCTGTGTAATGTTCTTCTTCCCCTTTCACATACCATGTCCTCAGTCCCTCCTCTTCATCCCCATTCCCCAGGCTGACCCTTTTTTTTTTCTTTCCCAGCCCCACAGGTAGGCTGGAAGAGTACCTGGGAAGCATGGCCAAGATTCAGAAGGCTGTGGAGTATTTCCAGGACAATAGCCCAGACAGTCCAGAGCTCAACAAAGTGGTAAGGGACTGGCAGAGGAATGTGAGAGGTTTGAGGACATCAGTCCTTGTCCTGGTCTCATGAGGGACACTGGACCAGCTTAAAGAAATATACAGTAGAATAAATGAAAGGATAAAATATAATACACATACTACAGACATTAAGACTTCTGCCTCAGGAATTACAAGTATACATTTTTATTATATTTTTATGATTATAAAATTATAAATTACATGTATGTTTAACATTTGATTTTTATGAATGCATGTGTGGTTTCTTGATTGTGGTAAAAAATATATAATATAAAATCTACCATTTTAACCCTTTTTAGGGGAACAGTTCAGTGGCATTAAGTGCATATACATTTTTGTGCAACCATCACCACCATCTGTCTCTAGAACTATTTTCATCCCCAAACTGAAACTCTGTTGAGATGCTCACTTCCCCGGCTCCTGGTAACCACCATTCTACTTTCTGTCTCTATAAGTTCAACTACTCCAGGAGCCTGCATCTGTGTGATTTTTTTGTATTATGTCTTCATGTTTAAGTTTTGGGGTCCTGAGATCATCAGAGTAAGATGGGGAAGGCTGGGAAGTGAGGCTCACGTGATGCGTTGAGGGAAGGAGAGGATGCAGACAGGTGGAAAGGTGGGAGCAGAGGCCCAGACGTGAGACAGAGAGGAGTATAAGGGGAGGAGCCTGGTACACATTCCGGGTAGCCCTACAGTTCTAGCCCAAAGGTGTGTGTCTTACCCAGAAGAGGGAGTAGGCTGGGGAACAAAGATAGGAAACTCGTTTTTCTCTGAACCAGTAAGGTTTTGCTTATAGCATTTTCCAACTTTTCTCCCGTTATGGTCTATGTCAGAAATGAGGGTATTTGTCAGCATGCAGTATCATGCTCTCCCAACTGAGCTAACCCAACCCACCCCCCAGATTTTTTTTTTTTTTTTTTTTTTGGTGGCTGGCCAGTACAGTTATCAAACCCTGGACCTTGTTCTTGTCAGCATTTTTTTTTTAATAAATTGAGCTTTATTTATATATATATATGTACATGTACATATATATTTTAAGTATATATGTATGTGTGTGTGTGTGTGTATATTTAATTTACTTATTTTTTGCTGGCTGGTACAGGGATGGAACCCTGGACCCTGGTGTTATCAACATCAAGAAATGAGGGTATTTGTGTGGCATACTGGGATAAACTGGTAACCATCTAGTGCTCTCTGGCTGCCCAAGGTCCCACCTGGTTGCCTTGAGAATGATGGGATCAATACCTTGGCACACCAGTAACCCAGTAGGGATACACCAGTTTATTTTATTTATTTATTTATTTAATTTTTTTAAAAGATGACCGGTAAGGGGATCTTAACCCTTGACTTGGTGTTGTCAGCACCATGCTCACCCAGTGAGCTAACCGGCCATCCCTACATGGGATCCGAACCCATGGCCTTGGTGTTATCAGCACCACACTCTCCCGAGTGAGCCACGGGCCGGCTCCAGGATACACCAGTTTAATCAGTATAATGCTGTCCCTGGGTGGGAAGCCTGTGTTCAGAGACTGGCATGTTAGGGGCTAGAGAAGTTTGAATTTAAGGGTCACTACCAAGTTTTGATCACAGAGTACAGAGCTCTGTACTAGGCCTTGGGAGTGGGATGGAGAAGAATACAAAAGATATAAACTATGGGTTTGCCCTAGGGGACTGATTTCATCTAAGCAGAAACACTCCTTTCTCTCTCTTTTTTAAACATTTTTATTGAGGAGAAATGATTCATATACCATGAAATTTATGCATTTAAATTATAAAATTCATGAAGTTTTGCAGCCATCACCAAAATCAATTTTAGAACATTTTTATCATCTGAAAAAGAAACGTGTACCCCTTGGCAATCACTTTCCTTCCCTCCTCTCCCCCATTCACCCAGCCTCTGGTAATCACTCATCTATTTTCTGTTTTTGTGGATTTGCCTATTCTGGATTTCTCATATAAATGGTATTATACAATATGTGGCCTTTAATGTTTTCAAGTTTCATTCATCTTGTAGAAATTCAGAACTTCATTCCTTTTTTTTTAAAAAGATGACCGGTAAGGGGATCTTAACCCTCAACTTGGTGTTGTCAGCACCACGCTCAGCTAGTGAGCTAACTGGCCATCCCTATATGGGATCCGAACCCATGGCCTTGGTGTTATCAGCACCGCACTCTCCCGAGTGAGCCACAGGCTGGCCCAGAACTTCATTCCTTTTGATTGCCCTTAATATTCCTTAATATTCCATTATATGTATGTGCCACATTGTGTTTATCCATTTATCCCTTGATGGACACTTGGGTTATTTCCACTTTTTTGTGTTTTGGTTTCTTTTGGCGGTTGGCTGGTACAGGGATCCGAATCCCTGACCTGATGTTACCAACACTGCGCTCTAGTCTGGAAGGCAGAGCTGGGGCCAGGGGAAGGCCAGGGCTAGGAGAATGCTGATGCGACAGTGACATGCTTCCTCTCATTGTCCCTGCAGAAGCTGCTGTTTGAGCGGGGAAAGGAGTCGCTGGAGTCCGAGTTCCGTAGCCTGATGACCCGGCACAGTAAGGTCGTCTCCCCTGTGCTCATCCTGGACCTGATCAGTGGTGATGACGAGCTGGAGGTCCAAGAGGACGTGGCCCTGGAGCACCTGCCCGAGAGCGTGCTCCAGGACGTGATCCGCATCTCCCGCTGGCTAGTGGAATATGGCCGCAACCAAGGTGAGGGGGCTCGGCGTGGCCCTGCGGCAGGCCAGAGGCAGTGGGAGTTTATTCTCCTTTATTCTTTAATCCATCTGGATTGTTTTCTTAGTAAAAGGAAGTTTAACAGGAAACAATATGAGCCACAAATCCTACAGCTTATATATCAAATTGTGAATCTAGCCTGATCCAAGCTTTGCTTTATGTACCTTGCTTTCTTTGCTTTTCTTGATTAGTTGTAAAGTTCTCAAATAGTACAGAAAGCCATAGGTACAAAGTAAAAGTTCAGTTTCCTGCTTCCCTGATGTGTAAATCATAACCCAAAGATGAGCACTGTTAAGGTTTATTTATACCCTTCCAAAAAAGTCTTTATGCAGGTGTGTGTGTGTGAACGCGTGCAAGAGAGAATAAATTTGTGTATATCCTCTTCTCACTTTACAGGAGGGAGCACACTAAACACTGTCCTACAATGATCTTTTGGTGTTTTTTTTTTTTTTTGTCCTTTTTGAGACCGGCCTCACCGCAGTCAGCCAGTGAGCGCTGTGAGCACACCAGTCATCCCTATATAGGATCCGAACCCGCAGCGGGAGCGCTGATGCGCTCCCAGCGCTGCACTCTCTCGAGTGCGCCACGGGCTCAGCCCCATTGGTGTTTTTTTAAACTTTATGATATGCCTTGAGGTTGTTCCATAATGGTACTTATAGATTTGTTTCATTCTTTTTAACAGCTGCATAATACAAGAGGTCTTCAAAAAGTTCATGGAAAAAATTTGTATTATCTTTTAATTCCATTTTTCCATGAACTTTTTGAAGTATCTTTGTTTTCCATGGTATGGTGGTACCATTGTTTCTTTGGCCAGTCCTAGGATTTAACAAAAAAAAATTCTTGAGTTAAACAAGTATTTTAGAAAATAAAAACTCCAGTGGATATTCAGTTTTACACTTTTTAGCTCTCCACACTGTTCTGTTAGTACGTGCACGTAGCAAGCAGTCAGTGCACACACGCCTTCCTCCAAGGACTTGGGGGCAGGTGTCATGGCCACGATGTATTTGACCACAAGTCTGTGGCTCATGAGCTCCACTGGGGGGAGCCTAGGGCTCGGCAAAAGATTTTCAGGGGCTCCCTTAAGATCAAGAGGGAGGCCACGTGGAGGACATCCTCCAGACCCCTCAGCAGCCTTCAGCCAGAGCCTGTCTGCTTTGGTCCATTTCTTACATTGAGGTTCCTTGTAAGATATTTGCTGGGAACTGCTGAAAGATACCACGCTTTCCATCTTTTTCCTCACTTGTGTACATTTTGGGATTTTCCAGTTTTCTGGTATTAATAAATGCTGCTGCAGTGAACACACTTGTGTGGATTGCTTTTTTTTTTTTTTTAATTTTGGAAGTTCTTTGGAGTATATTATTTGTATTTTATTTATTTATTTTTGGTGGCTGGCCGATATGGGGATCCGAACCCTTGACTTTGGTGTTACCAGCACCACACTCTACCAGGTGAGGTAACTGGCCAGCCACCTGAAGTATGTTCTTAAAGGTGCAATTATCAGATACATTAGTCCCCCCTTATCCACAGAGGGTATGTCCCACGACCCCCAGCAGATGCCTGAAATTGTGTATAGTACCAAACTCCATATACTATGTTTTTTCTTATACGTGCACACCTGTGATAAAGTTTAATTTATAGATTAGGTTGGGTAAGAGATTAACAACAATAACTAATAATAAAAAAGGACAATTCTTTTTTTTTTTTCTTTTTGTCTTTTTTACTGACCGGTAATGGGATCGCAACCCTCGGTGTCGCGCCCGTACCAGGGACCAGCAACGGGATCGCAACCCTTGGTGTTGCGCCCGCACCATGCTCAGCCAGTGAGCAGGAACTGGTCTCCACATGGGATCCGAACCCACGGTGGGAGCGCCGCCGCGCTTCCCAAGCGGCGCACTTGTAGCAGTGCGCCACCGGGCCGGCCCTATTT